TGAAGTGTGTCGGGCTCCACATTGCTACACCTACCCGTAGTACAACGCTGCGCGTCAAACTCAGGTCACAGTGACGTTGCGTACATTCCGCTCTATGCCTACCCATAACTACATGGATAGGAATCCTGAGTGGGTGCACACGGCTTGAGATCAGCGCGTACCTAGCTGCATGATCTTGCATCCGAGCCGGCTACGGTATCCTTTGCGGTATCCTGAACACGCTTCGTCTCACAGCGGCGCTGTGTTCCCGCAAGTCAGTAGCTTACTGACTACTCAAACTTCCGCAGCCTCTTCAACTATCCTGCATGCCTTCCATTGACATCATTGGGCAAGGCGAGTTGAACCGAACATGGTGTTCGATGTCCCACCCCACTCCAATGCGGCAAGTGGAGCGCATACGTCGTCCGACAGCCCCATGTCAGATTGCCCTTCAATCTCCTTGCCTGTTTGCCGTTTGGCAGCTCTATCGTCATTTACCAAGTCTACATGAAACGCAGACGCCACCGCATGTACCAAGGTGGCCCTAAGACTGAGTACTTCTAGTTCCAGAACGTTCAACTTCATTCCACAGAGAAGCAATTCGGGTGTTTCGCATGCGCGCTGTAGCCGTGGCGCGCACGCCAATCTGCCCCGGCTCACAATGCTGCCTGGTGTCATGAACCAGGCAATCTTTCTATCCTCAATTTGGAAGGTCTGAGCGATTCAACCCCAGGAGTACAAATATGACTACCAAATTACACAACACCTGGGTATGGAGCTTCTGTATGACGCCCCGCGGGCCCTAATGCACGGTCGCCGGTTGAACTCGCTTGCATGCATGTCTCGGCGATACTCCGCCAGACCAATCAGATGTCCTCGTTCCCAAACCCCCTCCTCAAAGCGCTCGTTCCTTCTTGTCCGTATCCTACACGGTGCTGGGGTTCTACTTGAGGTCAAGTTGACGCGGGTGCGCTCGATCTGCTGCATTAGCTTGCCATGTATACGGTGGGCTGGCGTGTAGCAAGCCTCTTCGAAACAACTGGCTGATAGCACATCGGAGAGAACCCTCTCGAGATCTTCGGTTCAAAATCAGAAAATGCGCAATAGATCCATCCAGGCCCATCACACCCGCATTTCATACCGATACCAACGACCGCTGTCCTGCGAGCGCCTGAACCGTCGTTCAAGCGCGGGTTCGCAACGTCGCGAGATATTCTCTGGCGTGGAGCTCGCGGTCAATTTCATGTTAAGATCGGCAGCACAGCCCCAATTTCGGGGTTAAGCATGCTGCATCTCCATTTCATCAGCAGCTGCCTCTGGGCCTTCTAGGAATGCGTTCGCTTGCACGAGCGGTCTGCACTGCGCTGTGCGTTATGTGAGCAGTGGCTAGCTAAAGGCAGATGCGGTGAGGAGTGTTCAACGTTGCACACCCACTTTATCTCGATCCATGTTTTGTGTGGCTCGGATTGCGGTATTCTTTAATAGACCATTTCAAACCGTTCCAAGGTTGTTTTCTGTCGCAATACTCTCGTCCCGCACATTGCCGCTGTCTGCAGTGCCATCCCTTCTGGCAGCAATGCAAGGGCACCATATGCAGGTGAGCAGACTGCTCCAGGCGTGCGGATAATTTGGGTAAATAGCGTCAGGCTTAAAAGGGTCCAGCGGAACATTGCTTCTTACCTCCTCTGAGCAGCACCGCATACATAGGCGAGTGTAAACATCTGGGCCTTACAGCTCACTACACGCTACGACACCGCCCGTCCAAGCTACTAACCTCGCTTCCTACGAAGCCAATGACCATTGCGAATATTCTCAAAGCACAGCATAAGCAAGTAAGCAGCATCGTATGCACCTCGTATCAGGCCGCGCAGTAAGCTCGGATTCCGACGTCCGACGTAACAGCAACAACGTGGCGACAGTTTGCTCTCTGGCGTTCTACTCCTACGCCCGCAGGATAGGATGCAGGATGGAAAAGACGGCACGCATCTGGATTTCACAAGAAGCTGGGTAATGCCCGAACAGGGCTACACGAGGTGCAGCCACGTTTAGCGTTGGCCCATCATATCGAAGCGGAGGAAACTTACTGTGTAGGCACTGCTAGCATCGGCCGTCTTCCGTAGAGATCCAGTCGAACCACGGCTCTGTACGTTTGCGACTGCATTGAGTTTCCAGGAACATCCAATAGGCAGAAAACATCGGCCATTTCTCCGCTCATGGGAATGTAATCCAGCATGCGGCACAGCGATAAAGTTGCAGCAGCCTCGCGACAATAACTGCCACTCGGAGGTCACTCTTGCGCGACGAGTGGCGACGGAGTACGGATCCCCACGCGTCTTTGTCCAACGTGGCCAGCTAGCTGGATTCTTCTCCTGTTTACAGCAAATCCATCTTCCAAAGAGCACTCGACCAAATGTCTTGATGCCCGGATGTGGATGGAAGGATGGAAACTAGGTTGATCGTAATGAAACCTAGTCCATTCCATTCCGCAACAATCGCGTCCCATGTTACAAGACAGTCAAGTTCGAACGAAGCTTGAATTCGTTACCACAGTCACAAACTCCTGCGCGCAAGGTAAGATCGGAAAAGTAGGAACTCACATTGGGCTTGCCCTCTTCTACTCTTGATGCTTGTATTGCTTTCGAACGTCGCCGCTTGTTTCCATTGTCGCCTATTTGGTCTTCCAATCATCATTTCTCTCCTCTTTTCAATGATCTTGTTGTCAGGAAGTCACGCGCGTTACCTGTGGCATCAGACAACATCGCAGGTGAAGGCATTCGATCATTGATCGAGTATCATACCCAAGCGCAGCGCACACCATCAGCAGCGTTCATGTCGAGTCGGAAGTCAGCTTTCAATGTGATATTCGGGGTCGCTGCCAATCCGCATCCAGACTGAAGTTGGGAAGTTGACGGGGAGGTACTTTCCAGATTCTCGAGTTCACATCCACCAGCATGCGGATGATATGTGTAACTAATTGGATCCAAGTTTACGTCTGCAAACCTCTACTTGTTATCTGTTTCCTGTATGTTTCCCTTCAATATATCTTCGAAGAGATTTCGTTAGTACCTTACACCTAAGTATCGTTCTTGACCTCGCGCATACTTTCAAGTCCCAATGTGCGCGAACTGTTCCTCTCTTTGCGATACGAACCACAACAAACGTCGTCCGGGTTACCAATCGCAACCTCTGCTGGGTCTTCGATGCCGTCTCAAAGCGGAAAGAGCAAACAAACTCCAGCCTGGGACCTCACTGTCGGCCACCCGCCTACGTCACCATCCTGTGCTTGTCCATAGTCACATTTCTAGCATCTGTCCGTCGTACATGATCAAAATCGCTGAGAAGGCTAGTCGCATTTGCGCCACGGCACCCATGGTCTGTATGGGCGAGGTGGTGCCACGAAGGTGCCTTCCTGGGCACGCGCAGAGCACAACAACGACGCACGCTCTCGCCCCACAATCGCGCCTTCACTTTCACTTTTGCTCCTGCCAATCCGTCCTCTGCTTGTCGCCTGCCGCCGGAGCTAATTTCCGCCGTGCCTGCAAACGCTGCTCGCACGTCATATAAACAACTTTTCTGTGTCCACCTCCGTGTCTTCTGCTTCTCTCACGACACTCACCCCAAAGCTTCATCATCTCTGCAACTGCATCAATCCAACACGAACATACTTCACTTCATCCCCACCACCAATCAGATTACCGCTATCAACATGTTCGGCTACAAGATCTTCGCTGTCGCTGCGCTTGCGCTGGCTGTCGTCGCCACTGACCGTGAGTACATGCTTCAGGCTTAGCTGCAAAGCTGCTTGGATACCTCTACATGGCATCGGGCACACGATCTAACATCTCTTGCAGCTGTCTGCGCTCTCGCTGCCACCGTGACTGTTACTGTCACCCAGTGCGTCCCCGAGCCCGGCAAGCCGTCGTCTGAGCCAGTCCCCGCTCTGTCAGATGTCTCCTCTACCCCCGCTATGTCGGCTGTCTCCTCGACTCCCGCTTTGTCGGCTGTATCCTCTACTCAAGACGGCGGAGCGCCTGTACCTACCACTACTAGCGTTATCCTGCCTCCCCCAGGACGACCAGTTCCCACCACCAACGTCCCCGATGACGAGCCTTCCAGTGCTACTACTACGACTGACGGGGGTCCCTCATCCTCAGGTCGCCCTGGTGAGCCCACAACCACTGCCGTCGAAACTGCTGGCGCCGCTCTCGCAACGCCTGTCGTCGGTATGGGCTCGCTCGTCGCCATGGGTGCTGCAGCCCTGGCTATCATGGCCTAGGCCCGTTCACACAAGGTCCACGTGCTATATTGAGCAGGGGTGTCGCGCTACACGTCGCGTTCTCAGTCGAAGTCGTTAGTGCAAGGCCTAGTATCCATGGGGCTCTCTCTTATTGTCTTGATCATTCTCTCAAGACCCAGATACCCCCATTCATGATTTGGTATTAATGTATTGGCGGCTTATCATCGGCATGGGGTGTCATCACTCGTCGAAAAGCTGCCCCATGGTATTGCATGTTCATAGCCTTCCACGAGTCTAATAAAAATACTGACATCGTCATTACTCTTGCTTCCGTACCATGCTTGCTTTGATGACCATGCCGTGTGAAGTGGCTCTCACACCGCGCTTGGCTTCCACTCCTCGAGCTACCACGGATGACTGAGTTGATACCTTGTTGCTCGAGAGTCAATGAAGCCCTGCTTGCCTATCAGAGTGCCCCTCGTTGTTGATTTCGGGCACTGAGAAGGGCAGTGATGAATATCCTACCGAGGACGGACAGTACGTTCATGTGGATCGTTAATACTGGCTAGAATGAAGGCATGATGAGACTGAGTACGGTTCTGATGGAGTGCACATGAATATCAACAGAAAGACATATCAAGGGCGGGGAAAGCGAAAACAGGGAACAAGCATAAATATACTCTGAGATATCTTCTAATGATAGTAAGAATCCCTCAATTAGAGAACGCATCATGCTAATATATATCGCTCGTTCCTCCCACTGGAAGACCACTCAAACGAAGTACTATCCCGTTTGTTTATACTTCGTCCTCAACTCGTCGATCTCGCGTTGGAACTTTTCCATATCGTCGAGGATGTTACTTGAGTCGCTCCTTCCCTCGCCCTCCTTCCCACCAGCCATGTTTTCATCGAGACCTAGCTTCTTCTCGCTCTCTTCCATTGGCGAGTATAAGGCATATTCGTTCCCACCTTTCTCGTCTGCAGGCGCGTATTCCCTTCTCAATGAGCTTTCGCTGGCTACGCTCGTCCGTCTGTGCTCTGTACTTGTACGGCGGTACTCCGTGCTTGTCCGTCGGCTTTCTGTGGGGGACGAAGAGGGTATCTGAGGTCTTTGCTGATCAAGGCTTGAGCGATTCGATCGGCGTCTTGGTGGAGGCGGAGGTGGCGGCATATTGCTTCCTGTGCTTTCTCCAGATACGTTTCGCTGGGTATTGCGATTGGACGATATGGATGAGGCGCGGTGCACACTCGGCGCGGGTGACGAAGGTTGGGATTCTAGAGTGCTCCGGCGGGATGAAGGGGGTTCTGGAACAGATCTCGGCGTTCGACCCGAACTTGAACGCTGTGGCAGTTCGGTGCTAGAAGAGTTCGCGCTTGAGTTGCCTATGTTTGCGAGTCGTGCGCCGTGTCGTGAAGGTGGAGGACGTGGTGGTGACTTTGCTCCAAACGGGTCGACGTTACTTGGAACTGGGCTTTGTATGGGGTCAACCGAGTGCTGAGATGATATCGTAAGGTTTGAACTGCTCCGCGATCTATTGCCTGTTGTCGTCGTCGTCTTGAGCTGACTCTGCCTACGGGCCAATGGCACGGGCGGAGGTGCCTTCTTTTGTCTATTTGTGCCTTCCGAAGGCGGTGAAGGCAGGTCTTGTGCTGGTGGGGTTGGTTGGGATTGTAGCGGGGTGGTATCTTGCGTGCTGATATGGGATGACTGCGGCGCAGCAACGGGAGTTGGGGGGAGCGGCTTGTTTGTATCCGAACTGTCTGTCCGTCTGATAGCCGGCGGTGGTGTTGGCTCTGTGGCTGCAAAGCTCTCGAAGGACACTGTCTGTGGCTGTCTCTGCGTAACGAGCTTTCCGTGTCGATGCTTGGGGGCAGGTGGGGGCTTCTTTTTGCCCTTCTTCACCTCGGAGACTAGCCCCATGCTCTCGTCCTCTTCCGAGTCAGCCATATCGACCGATGTACGTGGCGAGTCAGCGTGGGATTCTTGTATGGGCTCGAATAGCGATTGCCGGGAGACTGAGGAGGTATCCGTGCTACTACTGGTCTCGAATTGCGCGCCTGCGACGGGTTGTGATGCGCTCGTAGACTGCTGAGGCGGACCGGATGGTCGCGGAGTAGCCTTTCCGGTCAGGAGTAGGTTCTTGAAGCTCTCCACATCCAAGGAAGCTCTGCTGTTGCCTAGCATCGGTCTTCCCGTGTTCGTCCGCTCCTCCTCGCTCTCTTTGTCTTGGGGTTCTAACGAGGCCAGTGTTCTCGAGAATGGATTCGCTGGTACGTTACCCGGCGATTGCATCGCCAGCGGCTCGCCAAAGGTTGATCTCGGGTTTGGGGACGCGTCCGCTATTGCCATGGCGTCTTTCCCGACAACTTGGGCATTGGCTTCGCCCGCTGTGACAGAGTTGTTGACAAAGCCGGCGGGTGTTACGGGAGGCGGTGGGCTTGCAGGCCGACCTTGGCTCGATCGCCGGGCCATAAGCTCGTTCAAGGTCGCATCTGAGTCGTCAAAGATGGGCGGTGGAATCGTAGTAGTGGGCGAGAGAATGCGGACAGACTTCTTGGTCTTGCCAGTCGACGGCGGGGCGGCGTCTTCGAGCACTGTAAGACAATTACTCCTTGAATGCCAGCAGACGCAGAAAGGCAAGGCGAGGGAATACCATGGTCGCTGTCCTCCCTGCGCGCTCCAAGCACACTGCTATCCGTGTTGATGAAGGAAGTCTGCGGGACGGGCGCGGGCTGACGGGGAGCTTGAGAAAGGCGGAAGGGGTTTCCGGACGACATGATGGGTGCTAAAAACAATGCATTATTCTATGTACATGGAAGGGGCGCGAGAGAAGCGGTGAGATGGTGCCGCGCAAGAAATGCTGTTGCTGATAGTCGGCTCTGCGACGTGATCATCGCCGATATGCAGGTGCTGGCGATCCGGCGCGGGACAGCGAACAGCCCCCACCATCGTACCTCGTACACCATGACGGCCCAATGAACCTCTGCTATCCATAAGGCACAATTTCGCCAACGAATTCTGTGGCCCTGTGTGTTCTAGGGCTCCCGTTTCAATATTCGCTGTCTGGTACAGGATTTCAACACTTCCTTACACTGTTTAGTAAACGCGTGGGCATCTTGCAGCGGCCTACCGCGGCTATCTATGTAAGGGTCTATCTCCACGGTACGCTAATCGACATACACATGCCACCCTGCCTGGCAGTCAAACCACTTGCGCGCCAAGTTCCCTCCACTCTCTGTCGGTTGGCTGAAAGCAACTCGAGCTTTCTCAATGTGCAGCCCATAGATGAAGTCGGATCGTGCGATATCCAGCAGCCTAGTCGCGATGCCTTTCTTTCTATGTTGATTCGACGTCCATATTCGTGATATGCCCAAGGCCACCGGATCTGAATCGGTGCTGATAGAAATAGAAGAGCTATGGGGCGCGACAGCATCTCCTTGCTCCTGTTCGGGCGAACTGGTGGGGTCCAACACCTTATAGGCCTCCCATATTCGCTCTACCAAACATGCTCCTACACACTTATTCCCTCGAATGTATAAATATATCTTGAATCGATCGACGAGTGCCACGTTGGCTGGGTTCTTCGCCGAGGGCCGTGGTTTCGGTACAGGCGTAGTCCGTTCTGTTTCGTCTGCCTGGGCTGTCCGACTCGTCTGTCCCCAAAGCTCGTCGTCTGATATGGGAACAGCAGCAAGCTCTGTGTTCACAACCTTCAAAACATCACTCGCCCGGTTGCGCATCGCCAATGTATCCTTGCGTCCAACTACAGCGATGAAGCTCCCATCACCACTCCATATCTGGTTCTTCCTAAAGCGCTCCACGACTGGCTTGGTGAAGTCGACACCCCCAAGGTTCATCGCATGAAACTTCTTGTGTAGCGCCGCGTCTTCGGCATTCGACGGTATGTACTGCATTCCACATGTCTTGCATGTTTTACGCGTCTCTGAAGCCAGGTCTAACTGCATCTGTACCATCTGCTTCTTTTTCGGTGCTGGCTTCGGTGGGCTTTGCGCATTGTGACTCCGTTCTGTAAGGGGTTCTTTGGCGGGCGTGCTCGGCTTGAGTTGCTTTTTGAATATGGAGAAGACTGGTCGCCGTTTTTGAACGGGTGGAGGGGAGCTGCGCGGTGCTGGCGACGATGGTGGACTAGACCGAGGCGGTTCGTCTGAGAAGACTGCGGGCGAGTCTTTGGGGCTGGACGGAGGAGCGGTGGAGCTTTCACGCTCGCATTCGAGAGATGAAATTACAATCGTAGGAGCAGTATCCAAAGAGGTCAAGGTCGTCGTTTCGGTACTTTCGATTGTGGTCTCGACGCGTCTTCGTTTGGTAGGCGGTTCTTCATCGTAGAGTTGACGCTTCGTGTGTCGCGAATAGGTTCTGACAACCTTTCTGCAATTATGTTAGACATGCGACATATCTTCAATTGGATCGGCTTACTTTGCTCCGAAGGACGACATTACGGCGCTGTTGGCAAGCGTCGTAGGAACTGCGAGTGCTGGACCGCCCACGCGACAGACGCGTGTTAGCGCGCTGCGCTAGTGCCCGCCCATATGCACGACGTCACGCCTCGTCCTCTCACATGTCACCTGGTCAGTCCCAAGCATCGTGTTCAAGGATATACTTCACAGTCATCAAGTCTTTGCGCGTCCTTTAAATACGGCGATACACTTGCATTGTTCTGGACTCATCAAATGGGCGAGTGTCGCTAGATCAGGCCACCGGTCGATATCCCAGCAGGGAAGGTGCGTTTGCTTCGTGCTGACTAGCCTTATCATGGTCACTCAAAGGGCATCTATGAGTCAACGGCCGTGAAGCAATCAAGCACTAAAAGTACACAAATATCGGACTCTCTCTACTGGCCCATCTTGATTCCTTTCTCCCGTATGCGCACATCTCGCCGGTGTATCTATCTCCACAATGGCGGAACAAACAACACCAGCACAGACGGGCACATCAGTTCCATCATCCATAGTGACTACCAAGCGTCTAATAATCCGTCTAATGTGCCTCGAAGATGCTCCTTCGACTTCCCGGCACGCCAACGACCCCCTCATCGCCAAGTATATGCGAGGAACTTTTCCCAGTCCATATACACAGTCTAGCGCTGAGACATGGATCAACATGAACCTCGCACTCCCATATCAACACCATTTCGTCATCTGCGAGAGATCAGCGCCAGAACTCGCAATAGGAGGTATCGGTTTGAAGCTAGGCTCGGATGTGTATGCACATGCAGCAGAAGTTGGTTTCTGGGTTGGAAAGACGTATTGGGGGAAAGGTTACATCACGGAGGCACTGGAAGCCTTCACAACATGGAGTTTTGAGAGTTACGAGAATAATGGTCAACGATTGTCCAAACTCTACGCTGGGGTATTCTCTGGCAACGGGGCGAGCATGCGGTGCTTTGAAAAGAATGGGTACGTACTCGAAGGTGTACTGAGGGACAATGTTTACAAGAATGGTGAGATGAAGGATGAGCACATGTTCGGTATGAGAAAGGCAGACTGGGAGAGGAGATTGCGTGATGGTGTCAGCAAGTAGTGGAGTGAGGTGGATCAGAGGTCTCTCAGATTTGGTAGTCTTTGGAAAGGTGCTCATAGTAGTGGCCAAGACAGATTGAGAAGGCTCAAGGAGGAAGTCTTGTTTTTGATACGAAAGCTAAAGTGCACTTGAGGTAACTCAAGGACCTGGTTGGGCTATGTATGCTTGGAGTTGCATGAGCAGTAGTTCAACCGGCACGTTGTGTCTTGCTCTCTTCATCACGACACATTTCTCACCAGCGTACTTGCTGACTTTTATCAGTTCTTGCGCCTTGTCCTCTCCAAGTAGATCTGTCAAACTGTAGACCGCAACCTTTCTGCCTCGCCAAGTGGTGGTATGAAACTCGAGCTCTGGGAACATCAGGCGGGGTTGCAGACATGCGATGACAGGACCAGTATACCAGTGTGGTGAAGAGTGAGTGACTTCTGGGGTAGCATGTGGATCCAACTTCGCCTCAAAGCTCTTGGTAAAGTAGGCTGACCACTTTTCCAGCTCAGCCATGTTCAGATCTGCCAGCTTTTGCATATCATCCCCACGATTATGAAGCGATCGGAATATGAGGACAGAAGAAACGTCTTCGACGCTCTCAATGTCTTCAGTCCGGGGACTCGCGACTGAAATCAATCGACCTCTGAAACCAAAGTTCCAGCTGAGCTTACTCGCTACTGTCTTGCGCATTATGTCCAGTATGAAGTCTGGCATGTCCTCCCTCCAAACCATCTTCTTCAAGCCCAGCCCGCCAAACTTTTCGGCCATGCGTGAGTTTAGAGCTTTCTCCCAGGCTTTCTTCTTGCCCAGTTGTACAGTAACCCGACGAGTCCCAAGGAAACGGTGTGGGGGTCCGAGGTGCTTCTTGTCCGTCGTGAGAGAGACAGGCAGGAGCCACGGGTCTTTGGTCGTTGGGTGCGGGCGTGCGTGGAGAGAGGTCAGGAAGGCGCTAGGAAGGGAGATCATTGTTGCGCGGCATTGACGGACTGGCGATGCCAACGCATGGGCTGAGAAATTAGTCTTGCATTGCCATCAAGGGACAGCATTATGCATACCGAAAGGATTCTCCCATAGTTTCTTCTGGAAAGGCGTGAATTCAGCAAAATTCGGTCGCTCTTTCGTCTGTTCATAGCGAGACCTTTCTTCTAAGGCTACCGGGTCGAGTAATGGCGAAAGTGGAAGTTCTTTGGCTGTCTCGTCTTTGCGGAGGCGGAACGTTTGGTGGGCATCTTCGCGCGTAGGACCAAGGTCACTGCCTTTCAAGAGACGACCGGGAATATGAGCGGAGGATTGGCGGCATTGAGCCCGCGCCGAGAGTCTAGTGGGGCTCAAGCATGACGTCGGGCGACAGATCCATCTGCCTGGCATCAGGCGGGACAGGGAGGGACTGGGCGGTTCGTGCAGGTTGGAAGGGTGTTGCGCTGGAGAACCAAACGATCGCATCGGACCCCCGGCTTGGCGCGCCGGAGCTGCGTTCACGCGGGGAGGCAGGAGCTACCCCGACATCACCATCATGGCTTCTCTATTACGGCGGGCTACAAGGCCATCAACACTACAAAGCTTCGCCAGATATGGCACGCGGTCGATATCAAGCCAATTCGGCTTCCAGCCGCAATGGAGTCCACAGCAGCAGGACCAACAGACACCGCGCGCCATCTCACTGCCGATACCCTACGTCACGGAGACTACTGTGGGTTCAGCAGCGTTACTATCCAAGAGCTAGCTGACTTTATAGGGTGGAGGCTGGAAAACTTCCGACATCTTCTCGCGTCTCCTGCAAGAGCGCATCATCTGCCTGAATGGCGAGGTTGACGACTACATGTCCGCCAACGCTGTCGCCCAGCTCCTCTTCCTCGAAGCCGACAACCCCGAGAAACCCATATCCATGTACATCAACTCGCCCGGCGGCAGCGTGAGTGCCGGTCTTGCGATTTACGATACCATGAACTACATCCGCTGCCCGGTCAGCACAATATGCATGGGCATCGCAGCCTCCATGGGATCACTGCTGCTTGCAGGCGGAGCCGAGGGCCAGCGATACATATTACCACATGCGCGAGTCATGATACATCAGCCGAGTGGCGGATACCGTGGCAAGGCAAGCGATATTGCGGACCACGCCAAAGAGATCCTCAGGATACGGGACAAGCTGAACAAAATATACCAGTCGCACGTTACGAAGAAGAGGACATTGGAGGAGATTGAGAAGTACATGGAGCGCGACTACTTTATGGACGCGCAAGAGGCG